TTTTATTTTACGAAAACTTGAATATTTTTAACTCGATCGGAATATTATTTAATAGTTTGTAATGATTAATTAATGATTAACAAAATAAAAAAATTAATAAAAAAATTATAATAAAAAAAATAATATTAGTAATAAATAATTCAAGGCTAAATTAATTTTTTTCTTTTTTAATAATATTTTTTATTTTCATTTACTTTATTATTTGTTTTTTATTCTATTTCTTATTTTATTAATAATTATTAATCACTAATTAATCATTAAAAAGTATGAATTAATATTCTGATCGACTTAAACTTTTTTTTTAATTTACGAAAACTTGAATTCGAATTTAATGCGAGATAGGATTATATTATTCTGAAACTGAGATAGCCTTTTATTATTTTGACAATTGAACTAGCTTCATATTGAACTGAGCTCGAGTTGGCATTTTATTATTCTGACAAATGAACGGGCATCTTATCAACGGGAGGCGTCGAAATGTAAACAGAATTTGAACTACATTTTAAGAGAATTGAATGAATTTGCTTCTATTTCACAACTACACTACTTTGGCAATATAAGATTATTAAATTACATATAGAAAAGGAGATTGGGTCTTCTTTCATACCTCCTTACCATATTAAATAACAAATGTTCATCTTTTAAAATAACTTGATATTTGTATTTTCCAAAAGTCAGTGAGCGGCGAAATTTTAATACATCAATTTTTTAAAATATCTTTCGCCATTTTGAAATTTGAAAATATGACTTCAGGTTCGTATTTAGCGACTTCAAAAATACTCAAATAGCGTGATTCAGCCAATAATGCTGCAGATACGTTAGGCGTTGGACATATCTTATCGTCCTGCATTTCCGATTCGTAATCGTCGTCACTTTGGTTGTTTTCAGGGATCATGTCCTACACTCCAAAAAAAGTATCTTAAAATGCATTGTTATCAATTTTTAAACGTTTAAAACATGTTAATAAGATGCTTACTTTTTAGAGATTGCACAATGTACTCATCTGATGGATCTTCACTTGTGATAAGCTCATTATCGAAATCGAATATATAAAACATATAAAACAGCCCTGTCTCGTCAGCGTTAACTATTTGATCTTCAGTAAACTTTTTAAGTAAATTTGGCCTCACTTTTTCCAGCCAATAACTTACATCATTTTGGTTAACTGACAACGATTCTCCACTTATCTTACCGGCAAGAATATTGTGTCTCATTTTAAAACTATTAATCCAACTCGGTGTACAAGTAAAATTTGAAATATTAAACTGCGATGCAAAAAAATTTGCTTTTTCCTGTAATATAGGTTCATTCACAGGAATTCTTCTGTTTCGTTGCACCTTGAACCACTGTAATAAAGCTTCATCAATTTCTTCGTGTGAAGATGTCCTCATGCGTTTTGGTTTTAAAACATTTGAATTCACCGCAGCTTCAATTTTGATTTTATTCTTCAATATCGTTGATATGGTCGAGTGAGACACACCAAACTCTTTTGCAAGGGATGCATTACACTCCCCTGCTTCTAGTCTATGTATAATTGCACTTTTCTTATCAATTGAGAAACAATTTCTACGTTTAGGCGTTGACATTTTCGTGCGTGTTATTAGCGCGGCTTCTCAATTGATAGACAACGAAAAAACTGATTTCTTAACTTCATAACTGAAATAGTAGCAAATACAAAAGAAAATAAGGTACAGCTCATGCATAGACATCATTTGTATACAAATACTGGTTCCTCAACTTCATTAAAGGACTGAGGCACAACAATTATTTGTATAGAAATTTAGAATTCGTCGTTATAACCGGAGGAAATAGACCATTTCCTACGAAAAATACGTCGTTATATCCGGATAGTCGTTATAAACGGTATCATTCATATAGTAATTTCTATAGAAACCAAGCTAAAGGGTCTGCATAGGTCGTTATAAGCGAAGTCGTTATAAACGGATTCCACTGTACTAGTTTTGGTATGGTTGATTTTTAATTTTATATGATGCATTATTAGTCAACTGGTTGAATTAGTGATTGGTAGATGACACTGAAGTTACCAACGTTGAATCGACGAAAAGAATTTTCTTTTTCCTAAGATTGAATATTTCCCCGCCTTAATTGAGGATTTTTAGTATTTAAAGATGTATTCGGGACCAAAATAAAGAAGTTTCAATTTTAAAAAATTGGTTCTTGGCCTTTAAACTAATCTGAAAGCGAAAAATTCGTTCGTCGATTCGTCGAATCAACGTTGGTAACTTCAGCGTCATATTGGTAGACAGTTTTCCCAATACGCGTTTCCCAATGACTGTTTTTCCCATAGACATTTTTCCCAAAAACGAGTCGTTTTTCCCAATAAGAAATTTTCTTACCAAAGCTAATGATAAAATAAAATACATCCATAAGAAAACGAATCACAAAATAATTTATTATTGTGATTAAAAACATGCAAATAAAAAAGTGTAGATGTTATGTAGTTAGTATTGATAAATTTTGAAAATAATGTCTTAATTGATTTAAAGTTTTATGTTGTGTCCTATTGTTTTTAAATAACTAAATATGTTATCGTGTTGTGCATATTCGTTGTACTGTTCCACAATGTTTAAAATTTTCTCTTCTGTTTCCCTTCTTCACTTATCTAATTCTTTTCTTATTCGCTGTCCAATTTGTAGTTGACGCAGCATGATTTCCGTGTCTACCTGTTCTTTTCGTAATTCATCAAAAAAAACATACATGGTTATGGGGATATTTTTTAGGCCCTTTGATGAGTGTTATATTTTCTAGGTCACTAGATGTTGTTGTTCGAACGTGACATTGGTCCTTCACTGTAAAAAGAAAGTACTAAAACAGTACCGAAAAGTACTAAAGCAGTACCGATTTTAGGTATCAAAATAGAACCAAATGACAATTTAGTACCTGAAGTCGGTATTAAATTAATACCTTTCTTTTTACAGTGTTCTTTTTGCAGTTCCAATATATTCGACCGAGTTTATAATTTGTTGAATGTTTGTAGTACAAAAATCCCGAAATACTAAGTCTGACACTTCTATTGGTAGTGATTATTTGTAAATTTGCTTCAGTCATAATATAAAATTGAATTTTTTTCACTTGAAATTTTGATAGAAGTTTAATCCAACGCAACGGTTATGAATAACAAATGACTTTTTTCATTATATACAATAATGAAGTTAGTCTTGGAAACGATTGCAATTGTTCACTGTGATAAAAAATTTAAAAATTATTTTCATTGGGAAAAATGTCCATTAGGAAAAAATTTTTAGGAAAATTGTTCATTGGGAAAAAAGTCGTTGGGAAAAACGGATAGGGAAAACTGTCCCCCTACCGAATTAGTGTAGGGGAGACCGGGGCTGTTTGGCGCACTTGAGTTTATTCAAAAGTGTTAAGTTAAATTAATATTTCTCTTCATTTAATTCAAAGTACTTGATGAACTGTAAGTTTGTAAAAAATTTCATAATATTTATTCATTATTGTAGAATATAGATAAAAATAACTGATTTTCGCACTCCAAAGTAATTTTTTAACCTCTTCATTTTTTTGTGATATCTCTTTAAAAATGAATTTTAGAAGAGCTTAAATATATTAAGTTTTGAGCTCTATACATTTGTTATTAAGAAACAAAAAAAAATTTTGATTTATATTAACAGTTTTTATAAACAATTAAATAAATAGGTATTTCAAAAGTACATTCGGGGTTGGGTGGCGCGGTTATCTGAAAATTTCGTTAAATATTAATAAAATGATTAAATGAAATTTACACATTAATAAACACAAATAACAATCCTTTTCGAAAAATTTAACCGCGAATAATAGGTTTTTAAATATTCACAGCGTAATTATTAAAAAAAATATATATATATTTTTTGATAATTTTACGATTTCATAGAAAATATTTTTAATTTAAATGAAATTTTTTAATTTTTAAAATTTAAATCCCGGGCCGGGATTGCTTGGCGCACTTTGCACAGCTTCAAATAAAGTGGTATAAAAAGAAAAGTATATTAAATATATTGCAACTTTCTTTTTTTTAAATTAAAGCTGAGATATTACAAGGTTACAAAAAGTTTTCTATACAATAACTTTAAAAAAAAAAGCAAAAATGAGTGAGTTACACAACAAAGAGTAAAAAGTGCGCCAAGTAACGCCGCGCCGGTCTCCCCTAAATATCACATAAAAATGGAATTATAATTAAAAGCATATAGTTAAATTAGAACGAGACAGTTGTAACGATTGTAGGAAACAATGATACGGATTAATTAAAGCAGATTAAGGTGAAGAAACTAGCACGTTATATGATTTATAGTTCCGACAAATATTGAATGGTCATCTTTCTATTTGACAAGGGAAACTATTCATTGAATTTATATAATCATTTTTTTCTTCTTCACTTTTATAGTGTGATATTAGGTATAATTTTCATTTAAAATAAAAATAAAACAATTTAATTCAGTATTTGTCATTTTCGATCCGATATTTAAAAATTTTTTTATTTTTTTGCATTTTTTACAATACGTTTTTTTATTAGTTGCAGGAAATATTTTTAAAAAATTTTTTACTCTCTTTCTCTTTTATATGAGTAAATCTATCGAGCAAATTTGCATGAATATTGGTTGTCACATATGCAAATGAATATACATATATATATATTTTTTTTTATCTTATTTTTATTATTTTTATATCCCTTCGTTATATAGGAAGGGTACGATTAATTTACACACACAGATATATACAAATACATTAAAATTTATTTAGAAAAAATTTATATTTTATTAAAAAAGCGAATGTTTTTTGTTAAAAGTGAAAAAATATTTTATAAACCTAAATTTAATTTATTTTATACATATTTTAAGAAATAGTGAAAAATATTTTTGATTTTCAAAAAAGAATTAAATTTTGAATTTTTTTACACTATTCGAAATAATAAGAAAAAAAATATTGATATAGAAATTTTGCTCTATATTTATATATATAAAATTTATATATTTTTTTATAAATACCTTCGCATATAATGATATTTGAAAACCACTATGATGACAAGAAAATTTGCAGTGATAGCTAGAACGAAAACTGGTACATAGAGTGTGATCAATAAATAATTTGTCTCGTTATTGAAATCTTCGTAAAATCCTTGCAAGATCGCTTTCATTTTCTCGACCTCAAAGCTATCATTGTAATGCTTGTCATCTATAGTAGACGAGCTGCTGTATAACGAAGTGCCTCCTTTGTCATCCATGGCTTAAGGTCCTCTTTAACTCACTCTGAAAAGAAACAATTAAAAAGTATTATCAATATTATCTTATAAAAGTAAAAAACGGTTTCCATACTTCATAAAGTATGGAAATGGCGAGGGAGAATTTACTCAGATAATCCACTGTATACTCTTTATTTAGTAACCGTGTAATAAGCGTAATATCATGTATAACCTTGTAATAACGAGTAATGATCTGTAGTAACGTGTAATAATTATAATTTTTTTTCAACTACAACAAAAAATGTCAACATAGCTAAAAATTTAAAGACTTTTTTTTTAAAAAAGGTGAAACTTGATACTATGAATTCGCTTCAGATGGCGTTGTCGAATGTTTACATTAATTCGCCATTTATATAAGTATAAGTAAGAATTATTATTCAAGTTCTGCACTTTATTATTTAATAGAGATAATATAATGTTTAACAATAGAATTAATATATATATATTTTAAAAAGATATCGCTACCGCTGATTCAAGAATCAATGCTAGGCGAGAATTTCGACGCTACGTGGGAGTTTAGATTACTCGCTTACCGTTTAACTCGCGCAGCATTCAAACTTGCGTACCATTCAGAATTTGGCTCGATTCAGAGTATTGAATGCTATACGGGAATTTACTGTATCTATATATATATATACATACGAGCGAAGTATATTTCTTGGTTATGGGAATTTGAAGTTATGTTTGTCGGGCATAGCCTCAAACCCAACGGTACCTTGACCTACGTCCTTAAATTTTGAGGTTTTGTTTCAATTCTGAAACCCTATGCCCTTGAATTTTAAGGTTATGTTTGATCCATGACCTTCACTGAGAAAAATAATAATGTAATGTTAACAAAATAATTTGGTGGAGCACTTTTAGTTAAGATTACAAAAATTTAGTTGACAAAACAGTAACGAAAGAAGCAATCAATCGAGAAATTTAGTTGGCTGTACCAAAAATTTCGTTCAAGCCTTTGCGTCTGTTAACTGAATAATTTGGTTCTCCAAACCAAACCGTCTGAATGCTCAATTGCGCATGCGCTGTTCTCGTAAATATGTCACACGTTAACCATGCTTCGCTCTTCGTGTCGTCCAGTTTTATTCAAGTGTTTTCGGGATTTTTATGTGTTTCAGAAATTCGGTAAAAAAGTGTGTGTAGTGATGCATATCGAACAGAGAGAATAAAGCTTGTTAAAAGAACGGAAGTTTTTCTCCAGCCTGTATACTTTATGAAAATAATTTACACTCACATTGTCACTGGGATTCTTAGTGTAGTGGTCAGCGTTCTTGATTTGCGTTGCGTAGTCTGAGGGTTCGATCCCCAGCAGTGTTAGGTTTTTCCGCAATAGAAATTAATTTAAGTAGACATAGGGTAATAAAAGAGGATAACAAAAGTGATAAAATTAAGTGAAAAATAAAAAATATAAGTGTGAGCCAAAAAATAATTTGGTTGAGAAAGGAAAAAAATTTTTTTCATTTAACTAAATTTTTTGTTTGCTTAAAAACAATAAGTTAGTTGTGCAAAACAAAAAATTTGGTAGACCGAACAAAATGATTCAACGAAAAAATTTAGTAGCCCGAACCAAACGGATTAGTTGCACATATATCAAATAAAAAATTTGGTTTGGAGAACCAAACTTCAGTAGATGATACCAAACAGTTTTCTCAGTGTTGAATCCTGGAGATCTAGGACCTTGATTTTTAAGGTTATGTTTATTTTAATACTAATCTAGGTAGATATATGGGTTGTTCCACGTCAATTCGCCTATGGGTTTGAGGTTAAAAATCGTCACATTACTGGGCCAATATTGGCCACCAATACTTGGTAATTTTGATTTGCCATAATTGCGGGCCAAACTCTGTCTCATTACTGGGCCAATATTGGCACCGATTCTCGGTTACTCCAATTTGCTATAATTGGGTTGAACACTAATGGCAGCCAAGATTGGCCCAGTAATGGCGTCTGATACTTGGCTGCCTACGTCCAACCGCAATTAACACCACAAGAGTCGGCCCAATATTGTCTGCCAAGGCTCGTTGCCTATTTTGTCAATACTGGGCCAATATTGGTTTGGCATGGATCGTTCCATATAAATTTAGAAAAAGTTGGAAAATGAAATTACAATTAGAGCACTTAATTTGCGCTCCTCTTATTGTCGAGAGCAGCTTTTGTAAAAATATATATTTATATATATATGCAAATGATGTAGAAAAATTTATTTGAAGCAAAATCCCCTTGTAACAGCAATTTCTGAGAAATATCACAAGGCCATTGTTAAACATCTCGTTAAAAATATATTACAAATGTTATAAAGTTGAAAATCTCTATTTGTATATAGATTCATCAACTCAATTTTAAGAATATACTTTTTGTTGCGTAGACACATTTTTGCAAACGAATCAATTTATTGTCAAAGAAAAAAAGTCAACTTCAAACATGTGTCATTTCTATTTTGTAACAATAAAAAAAAAAAGAACTCTAGAAAATATTGTGGAGACTATTTTTATGTAAAATGAAGGCGAACTTGATGATGTCGTTGCGTTGGCATGAAAAATGAAAAAAAAAAAACTAATCAAAGCAAAGACATTTATATGTATGCATATATATATACATGTCCGAAAAATCGCAGAATAATTGGGAAAAGAAAAATTTTAAAACAAGTGACAGATATATGATAGAACAAAAAATGATTATAACATATCAATGTATTATATTTCTATATATTTAATTTAACTTTTTAAATGAATTATGTAATAAATTAAATAAAAATGTATTAAATAAATATTAATTTACATATTAAAAGTAAATAATAGTGTTACAAAAGTCGATCTTTTTGTAATTTGAACTTTTAGAAATTCTATCTTTTGGTATTTAAAATTAAGTAAATAAAATGACATATTTTAAATAAATTTTTTTATTTAAGTTACAAAAAATGAAAAAAAAAATTTTTTTTCCAGATAAAACAGATTTTAATTAATCCGCTCAACCAATCTAATTTACATTGAATACAGGTACCTATATCTACAGGTCTCGGATGTCATATTTTTAGCGCGATTATATGAGAAAAAAAAAAAAACTAATGTGTTATATGCGACATGTTACATAACTCCCAACTATAATTTTGTTGCATAACTCTTTATTTTTCATACATTTTCAAAATGGACAGAACGTTTATATGCAAAATCCCTTTTGTATATCAAGAGGTTATTTACTATAATCAATTCTAAAAAAGAAATTAAAAAAAATACCTTAAAAATAAAAACAATTAGCCAACAAATCTTTAAAAAAAAAAAAAATTTAATTCACAATATGGAAGCTGATGAAAATGTCTCAGTTAAAGGGCTGACAATAAAAACGGGTTATAATTAAAACACAAGCAAAAATGAAACATAAACACATTGGGAGAAAAAAAGGAGTTAAAATTTTTATTAATTTTATCGATTTGAAAGTGGCTTTGATGTTTTTTTTTTTCTTGTATAATTTTAGATGTAAGAAATTTAATTTATTAATAATTAAACTCGCAAGAAAGAAATTATCAGCATCTTTTCTAAATCGATAAATTAATTTTATTTTTAACTCGTTTTTGCTTGCAATATTTGTATCGCACTTTTTCTCGCATTTTTATTATTTTCATCATCCCCTCAACTTTAATTCAAAAATTTGAAACTTTAACTAAATTGAGTAAGTAATTTTTTTTTCTTAAATAAAAAATTAAAACTAATTACAAAGCAGAAAAATAAAATTAACTTATTATTATACAATTTAGTTTTTGAAACATTTTATGATTTAAGAAATATTTACTTATATATGTATATAAATAAAATTTATAAATTTATTTTAAAAAGTTATAAAAATTTTAAGGCGCGTTGCAAAAGCGTGAAACTCTAAATAAGAACTTAATTTTTCTGATATGAACGTTTTCCGTTTATATATAATATATTTAAAATATATTAAATATTTAAACAAAATCCATCATTACAAAATTTCGATAATATTTCTCCAACAATCTTCTTGCGTACAATTTATCACTTGAAACTTTATTTATCCAATTCAAATAATAATCAATTTTCTCCGACTTTTTAAAGATAAAAATAATTTTTTATTATATATAATTTTTATTTAAATATGGTAAAACAAAAAATTAATTAAAAATTTAATAATGTATTTCAGGAGAAAATTTTGACAAATGTATTATATATTATTCGTGGAGCAAGTTTTTTTTATTTTGATTTTAATTCTCAACACTGTTAAAAGTTACGCGTTTATAATTTTAATAATTTCCTAAGTTAATAAACTAAAAAAGATAAATTTCATTTTTATAGATGTAAAAATATCTGCTTATGTTTATTTTTGAATGTTATAATAAAATATTGATATAAAGTTAAAATTTTATCTCAGAGAAAATGGTTTCTTTTTTTTCAATGTAGTACTAAAAAATGTAAATCTATTTCGTTTGAAAAGTTTCACCTACGCGGTAATAAATAATAGACTTATATAAAAATAAAAGAAGGGAATCTTTTCAAATCCTGTATATAGTCTCGTTGAATTTTCTTGTTACAAGCTCAAGAAAGTTATCATTCACAGTCAAAACTCTCTCTCTCTCTCTCTCTCTCTTACTTTTTTTTATCTCTCTCTCTTTTTATCTTACCTTTAGAAAAAAATGAGGGACAATGGTATAATTTTGTTAAAAAAAAAAAAAAAAATTGAAAGGATCAGATTATTCTTTGTCTTCTGTATGATATACGTTCCAAGTGAAATTCAAATAAAACAAAAAAAAATTGTGTTAAAAATCAATTGTAGAATTCAATAGAGAGGAAAATATTATATATTGTAATATTTTTGAATTAAGAAAAGCAATAAAGATAATTCCAAAATTTTACAATATATAATATTTTCTTCTCTATTGAATTCATACAATTGATTTTTAACGCGATTTTTTTTTTTTGTTTGATTTCAATTTAGTATTTAGTTCTGATTTTAACCTCAAACCCAGCGGCGAATTGACATTTGACATGTTGAATGACCCATATATATCTAACTATATTAGTATTAAAATGAACATAAACTCAAAATTCAAGGGCATAGGTTTTCAGGATTCAAGGCCTTAGTTCAAATATAACCTTGAATTTCAAGGTCATAGGTCAAACATAACCTCAAAATTCAAGGTCATAGGTCAAACATAACCTAAAAATTCAAGAATATAGGTTAACGGACCGTTGGGTTTGAGACTATGTCCGACAAACATAACTTCAAATTCCCCTAACCAAGAAACGAAATTATAAATATTTAGTTATATATATATATATATATATACATATTTCTTTATTTGAATTCAAATAAAACATTTATTTCAAGAAAAAAATATATATATTTAACTAAAGAACTACACACGCAATGCTTTATTCCTATTCAAGATTCAGGAATCTGATAAAAAGGTGAGAATTTATTCTGACCCTTTTCATTACAACCCTCACTAATGTTTTCCCTGGAAGAGCAGATTTCATTTTCTAATAGAGGAAAACCTAGAAATACAATACAAATATAATAGAAAAATATTTAGTTATATATTTTATATTTTTATTTAATCACATTTTCATTGATTCACAAATATTTATAATCTTTTATTAATAAGAATATATAAGGTGTTGATGCTATTTTGATATTTTAAATTTGGGCTTTTTATTTTTTCCTATTTTAAAAATGAATGGAAAAAAAATTTTTATTATACGTTAAAAAAATTAAATTATAATTTAATATTATTTATATAAGAAGATGAAAATAATATACCTATATAAAATATATATATTTTTTTTAAGAATGAAAAAGATTTAGTAAACAAATGAATAAAAAATATATATTTAAAGAATGTCGTGCATGCTATAAGCAATAAAAAAAAACTTTCTCAAATGTCTCTATATCATTTTCTCTCCTATATATATATATATATATATGAGCTAGGAATGATATGAAATGCTAAATTGATGGTCGATGATACTATAATAATGTCAAACGCATTATAATCCCTTGGCTTACGAGAATCGGAAGTGATGATATCATTCCAGTTTCATTTTACGCATTTTATATGGAGACGAACAGAAAATATCTGAGGAAAAAACGTAATTTTTGCATATATTTGACAACTTTTTTTTTTTTTTTTTTTTAAATATAATAATTTATAAACAAATTTCTTATTTTCTTATTGTTATGATTATCCTAAAAAATCGTTAGTTAGAATTTTTATTTTAAAGAATTTTATTAAATTTAATGATTTTTTTTTTTTTTTTGGATAATCATAAGAATAAGAAAATAATTTTGTTTATTAAACACTGACAAAAAGTTGTTTTTTTTATCAATTCAAAACCAACAAGCCCCTTTAAAACAAAATTTTTTTTTTCTAAATTCTAAAATTTTTTTGCTTGATTTTATTAGCTCTCCGTTATTGTATTAAGCTTTTTCTATATGACACACTATTCGCTTGGGTGTAATCCTATTAAAAGAGATATTTAAATTAAACGCTTTCACTGTATAATTATGAACCCATATCACGTTAAGTCAAACTTTATCTGCTTTCCATCTCTCTCACTCTCAAGACGGGTATATATAAGTAGTTATAGGAACTTTCTAACCACCCTATATATGAATGTAGGTACGTGATAGAGAATTATATTCCCTCACACCCTTATATAATACGATCGTTTACTAACATTAGATATATCAGCATTCATTCGTGAAAATTCTTCATCCATTTCCTCAGCAGTCACTTGGGAATTTCATTTATCGTGAAATCGTGAGAAATTCTTAGGGGGGTGAAAAAAAAATGCATTTGTATTTATAAAAGTGTCATTAATATTAAATATTCGGTATATATATATTTTTTTTTTTCCTTTAAAAAAAAATGTATATCCATTTCCAATTTAATTATTTTATTATATTAACGCATAAACATATTTAAGTGAAATAATAATAATAATCATATTTTTAATGATAATAATTTTTTTCACTTGTTTTCTGTTTTTTTTTTTTATTTATTCCTCCCTCCAATTATTATGGATGTTGAAAATATTTCATTCTTAATCTCTAATTTCTCCCATAACTTAAATTTCTATCATAACCTATAATCAATCAAAATCAATAAAAATTTTCTTTAAATTTTTTTAATAAATTAAAATTTGTTTTTACAGAACGCACCCCGGTGAATTGAACGATGAAAGAGGAGCATTTCGTGTGACGTCATTGCCATGAAAAACTGCTGAAATCAAGTAAAGTACTATTTAATCATTTTAATAATAATTCGCTGACTTTAGCAGTAAACTACACGTTTGGTACATTTCTTATTGACACGAATCATTGTATGTAAACATACAAGATTTAGATTGCCGGTCGATTTTATTTCAAAGCATTAAAAATTTGTGTTTACGAAAGTTTGAAATAATCAATGACAGTGAAAAAGACAATCTGTGAATTGTGAGGATAACAAGTGATTTATTATTATACTAGTGAGCAAAATTATTACTTTTAATGTGATATGTCAAATTGTAGTTGATACACTGAAAAAAAAAATTTATTTGATTCAAATACCGGTGTATTTGGTTATTATCAAATAAATATTTACTTGAATCAAATATATAATATTTGAATCAAATATTTCTGTATTTGAAGCAAATACCATTTATTTGATTCAAATAAGAAATATTTGATTCAAGTAAATATTTATTTGATAATAACCATAAATACACCGGTATTTGAATCAAATACATTTTTTTTTCAGTGTAGCGAATTTAGGTTAGGTCTCTTTTACAAGTATTCTATTTCTTTATTTGGTTTTTTTTCTATTTGTTTCAATATTTAAATTAATTTTTATAATTATTTTATATAATACGAATTATATGAAATTTTATAATTATGGATAATAATGAAAACTTTATTTTCGCCATATAAATAAGAAGAAATTTAATTAAAATAGGCAGAAAGAAAGATTTTTAAAAATAACTTAATATTAAGTTTAGATTTCATTAAATAATAAATTTTTAATATATTCAATAAAAGATTAATTTAACAGAATAAACTAGGTTAATTAGGTATTTCACTTTTAAGGCCAGGTCCAAGTGAGGCAGTGCCATCTACATTGATACTAAAATTTTGGAAAATTTTCAACAGCCTTTTCTTGAAAACAAGAAGGTAAAATGATTTATCCTTTATGAATAATTGATTATTGGCAAGAAATACACCAGCTAAAACTTTTTTTGAGTTAAAATAATAAAATAAATTTCATGTCGATAAATTAAATATGAGCACTTTTTTCACAAAAACTGTAACAGTACTTTCTCAGAAATTACAATCAAAAATGCAATTTCCATTTGGAAAATTAATAAGCGCTAAAAAAATACACGACCTAAGATTTACCAATCACGAAAATAATAAAAAAAAAATTTTTATTAAATATTTAACATATTGATACTGCTTTACTGATTGTGACAGCCCTTTGGTAGATTATGTATTTCAGGTGATTAGCAACAGCGCCAATCTCCTCCTTTCGGCAAAACCGCAAAACGTCTGGTGACATATATAACCTTCCAAACGGCTGTCATAATGAGTAAAATATGTTATGTTAAAATACTTTTTTTTTTGTTATTTTCGTGATTGGTAAATCTTAGGTAGTGTATTTTTTAGCGTTTATTAATTTTCCAAATGGAAATTGCATTTTTGATTGTAATTTCTGAGAAAGTACTGTTACAGTTTTTGTGAAAAAAGTGCTCATATTTAATTTATTGACATGAAATTTTTTTTATTATTTTAACTCAAAAAAAGTTTTAGCTGGTGTATATCTTGCCAATAATCAATTATCCATAAAGGAAAAAGCATTTTACCTTCTTGTTTTCAAGAAAAGGCTGTTGAAAATTTTCCAAAATTTTAGTTTCAATATAGATGGCTCTGCCTCATTTGGACCTGACCTTAAATATGGCTGCATGATCAGCTGGAAGCTTGGAGGAACAACAAATAATTTTACTATAGTCCATCTACAGTTGGTAACGTTAAAAATTTCAAAAACTTAACCTCAAAATCACTTGTTTGACAGCTTTCTTTATTGCTTTTTTCGTTTGTTGTCCCTCCAGGCTTCGACGTCATCAGCCTCTGACATCATAAGGTAAAATGCCTAATACATAAAAGTTAAATATCCCGCCGGTGCGCGCGCAACTTGGCCATGCAAAACTACTAAAGTCAAACGAGCAACTATTTTTTCCAGTGCTCAATGACTATTTCAGACTCCTTTGCCTTTTATTTTCCATTGAGTATGCGCCTATATCTATTTCATTATTATTAACCACGGTTTTGCAATGACGTGTCATCAATTTTTTTTTAACAGAAAAAAAAATACTTTTACAGAGTGTAAAATTAGCGAAAGATAAATTCGCATTAAAATGGAGATAATTTCGCCAAAGATGAACGTAGAGACTTTTTCTTTTTATTTTCTTTTTTTCTTATTCAAAAAAATTTACAGGACGAATTAACCAGCGAGACGGAAAATACGGGATAATGATTTCTTATTCGTGCACAATTGCACTATTTCTTTAATTACTCGCGTAAGCCTGGCAACATTTTGTTTATTCTTCTTGAGATTAATAATGGAAAGCTTAGATTCCAAGGAATAATTATAAATTGACGACAATTAAAAATTGTTCAATGATTCTTTTTGTACAAAATATTAATTTTTATAACATTGATTGATTTTTTTTAAATTTAAATTAATATTAGAAATTTGTTTAAAAAATATAATGATTCAGTTGAATTATTTTATAATCTGAAAAATTTGTCCCATTCAGACAATTTGAATATATTGTAATAGGTACAATCTAGATTATATACTTATTCCATAACGTCGGTGAAGTTCACAACATTTATGATCAACTGCAGTTTTCTATTTTTTTTATATTCTTATTTTTTCTTTTGAGATATTTATTTTCTTTAATGTTTTCTTTTTTTTTATTTTGTTGTCCATTACGTTTTTTAAAATAAATAATTTATTAAATTCAAATTAAGAAAATAATTTTTTTTTTCATATTATAGGCAAAAAAAAAAAATTTATATGACGTCTAATCGATTAATGTAGAAAATTACAAATTTTTTCAAGAATTATAATTAAAATTTCTAATAGGAAAGAAGTTATTAAAAAAATGAATTTCATTTTAATTAAAAGTAAATCATAATTAAATTTTTTTTTGCATACGTGAAACAATTCTTTTTTTTTGTACATATATATATAATTTAATAGAATACAATTTTTTGTAATAGTTGATTAAAACTTTTGACGTGAGATGTTATTTTTAAACAATGAAAAATAAAAATATCTATAAATTTTTAATGCAATGTATACAATTTCTTTCTTAATTAATTAAATTTATAACATAAAAGGATTTTTCGTTATGAAATTTTTCTTTTTTTAACCCATTAACGCCCAAAAACTGAAAATTCTTTGTACACATTCAGGCTACGTTATTTTAAATAAATCGGTAAACATTTTCTACGAGAGGTACATTTCCTATAGGTTTTGAGTGTGCTCTTTCCGATTCCGGTATCAAAAATTAATTTCATCTAAGCCGAAATTAAATATGGCGGTTTAAGTGTCAAAAAACACAAAAAAAGTTTCATTTTTTTCAGTTTGACATTTTTTTTCAATCGGAAAAAATGTAAGAATAAAATTAAATTGTCAACCATAGGTGCATAAAAGTTGTGTACTTTCGAGAAACGTAATGTAGAATAAAAAATTTCAAGATGGCGGACCAAATATGGCGTCAAATTCATTGTAAAATGTGAAAATTTTGTGCAATATTGGTCAAATTGACACAATGTAACTGGATTTGCCTGAATTTTGTTACTCGGGGGTTTTTGGGGTCGCTGATTAAGAATCTGAAGTCGGTTTTCAAAAATGCAAAATGGCGGATCCAATATGGCGGATGAAATTTTAAAAATGCATTCAATTGGTCTGAATTTTCATACTCGGGGGTTTTCGGGGTTGCAGATTACGAATTTAAACTTCATTTTTAAAAATTCAAAATGGCGGATCCAATATGGCGGATAAAATTTTAAAAATGCATTTATTTGGTCTGAATTTTCATACTCGGGGGTTTTCGGGGTTGCTGATTACGAATTTGATCTTCATTTTTAAAAATTCAAAATGGCGGATCCAATATGGTGGATAAAAATTTTAAAAATGTATTTATTTGGTTTAAATTTTCATACTCGGGGGTTTTCCGGGTTGCTGATTACGAATTCGAACTTCATTTTTAAAAATTAAAAATGGTGGATCCAATATGGCGGACTTAAATAAAACAATTCATCGTATTTACATGAAATCAGTTACTCGGGGGTTTTTGGGGTCGTTGATTAATAATCTGAAGTCGGTTTTCAAAAATACAATATGGCGGATCCAATATGACAAATGAAAAATGTAAAAATCCGTTCAAATAGCCTAAAGGGGTTTTCAGTTTCTGTTTCTTAGCCGCCCATTTAGGCGTTTACCAATTCTTACCACGTGGAGGTAGACAAAATTAAGAATGTTATTTTTTTTATTTTTTTAAATATAGTTTGTTTATTTTAGATTTAATTATTAATACTGAATTAAAAATTTATTTATTCAAATGTCTGAATATTTCTAGTGACATACACACAGAAAGAAATAGTTAGTAAAACTTTCATGAACTAGATATTATCTTCTGGATGGGCACGAAGTTAGTAAATTTTAAACTTTTTCGACGAATTCATCAACTTTTTCTCTGCGGATGCGCAAACATTGGATGTTATGGAGATAGTGGTTATGGATCCGACATTTTGTATTTTACAAACCCGACTTCAGATTCTTAATCAGCAACCCCAAAAACCCCCGAGAAACTGATTTCATGTAAATACGATGGATTTTTTTCAAAACCCGCCATATTGGATCCGCCATTTTTAATTTTTAAAAATGAAGTTCGAATTCGTAATCAGCAACCCGGAAAACCCCCGAGTATGAAAATTCAGACCAAATAAATGCATTTTTAAAATTTTTATCCGCCACATTGGATCCGCCATTTTGAATTTTTAAAAATGAAGTTTAAATTCGTAATCTGCAACCCCGAAAACCCCCGAGTATGAAAATTCAGACCAATTGAATGCATTTTTAAAATTTCATCCGCCATATTGGATCCGCCATTTTGCATTTTCGAAAACCGACTTCAGATTCTTAATCAGCGACCCCAAAAACCCCCGAGTAACAAAATTCAGG